GGTCAATTTACTTTGATCTGTTTTTGTCTTTCAGAGAAAATCGCTGCTTTTTAAAATAAATTTTTTTCATTTATGCCAAATGTTAATGAGAATTTTTGCTTTGCAGACAAATGTATTTTCTGGAAAACAAAAAAACAAACCAATTGTTTTTGAAGCAGACCTTTAAATTTGTAAAATCTTCCCATTAATATTGTCTGCTGTAAAAAAAATGTAAAACAGAAAATATTTTGGTGTAAATTTTACTCATTGAAATTCATCGAGGAAAATTCATTCATTATAGTTCAGTTTTATATTTATTGATTTGCTGTATTTTTTGACAGATTTTTCATTAGTTCTCAAAACGAAACAATTCGTAATCATTTTGGGACAATAATTAACACTTAACTCCACAGTAAAATGAAGCTTTGTGAGTTTGCTTGTGGATGAGCAGCAGACTGGTTCCAGCTGCAGGAATCACTGCTGCTTTAGTTGTTTGGGACGTTGTAGTTCAGTCAGACTCTTGGGAAACCAACCGACTCACCACTATGATTGGAGTCAACAGCATCCACTCATCGGGACGAATGCGCTCTCGCTCACTGTGCTCTGTCCGAAGTGGGCGGGATACGAAAGGCTTGGATGCCTTCAGATACCCTAGAGCTCCGAGATCCCGCTCCCTGAAGCCGCTGGCCTTCCCGGACCTGCTGGGAATAAGTCAGGACCCACAAAACCGCAAGAAGAAGGTAGAAGCTGGAAACCAACATGCTGGTCATTGTGTGCAGGAAGTCAAACATGCATTTATGTTTGAGTTAACGTTTCCTGAATGCATCTTCTTTAGTTTAATGCTTCATAACTCATTATGAACTCATCTTAGAATAAGTTAAAATATTTAAATTTCAAGGAATTTTAGACAAGGTTTACATTTTTGTTTAGAAATGTAAAAAAAACTCTTAATTGATTTTTAGTTGTAATTAAATTTTTAGGTGTCACGATCAGCTTTCATAATTTGAGCATAGCGCTTTCAGCACAAACACGCATGAGTTTTTCTTGGTTTGTCTATCTTTATAAAACTGCTTCAACCGTCTGCTGTAGTGAGAAGCAAGGTTTTTTTCTTCTGTTGAGTGTCCGTCCGAGCACACAGTTTCAGCACAAACAAACACGCCCACAAACTTCGGACCAATCACATATTACCGTCGACACAGGAGGGGGGTCAAAAGTTCTGCTGGCGGGTTGTGCCAAAAGAGGCTGTTGAACCGATGCTGCGAAGTCCGGTGACGTAATTTTCATCATTAAACTGCAACAACCCGTGCTGACGTCGGCAGTTCGGAGCGAGTATGTTTCCAGCTTAATTTGCAATCATCAAGCCTAGACCAGCCTCTCATGGCTGCAGACTGTAATGGTTAGTCCTTGGTTTGTGTCAGTCAGTATGAGCTAAATGCATCAATCAAAAATTGTGTCATGGCAAGGAACAAAACAGATAAGTTGCTTCTGGGTGTAAGTTGCAAGACCATTACAAGACAATTACTTTATTGTGCAAAATCTACTTTTTTGAAGTTTATATCATGTTCAAAAAGAAAAAATCAGTAGGTCCTCTGGTCAGGCTCTTCTTTAGTGAAACATTTCATCTCCTCCAAGAGACTTCTTCAGTCTGATGAGTTTCAGGTGAACTCAGGCTTATAAGCTCCGCCTCCACCTGGACAAACAGGTTAGTCACATGCAAAAGAGGACCATCGACTAACAATAGGCTTGATTAGTTCTATTGTTCATAGAGGGTCATGTGTCCCATCACCTGACTTATTGGTATGGATGTTGTGGTTCTCAGGTGTCGTGTCATGTGAATGTAGTGAATGCAGGCGGGGCTCAAAGTCCCCTTGTTTTTGTCCCTCTCTCCCTCTTTGTGTTGGTATCGTTGGGGCCCTGATTCACACCTTTTGCTCACAGGGGGCGGAGTCATACTTGCAATAGCAGCGCTGTAGGAGGGGGACAACTGAAAACGGAGGCCTCCACCTCTGTTTAATGATGGACGGTTTTTCTTCACAAAGATGGCTTCCTTTACTCCTCTCTCAAACCAACGTTCCTCTATCAAGGATGAGAACATCCTCATCCCTGAAAGAGTGACCGCTGGCCTGTAGATGAGTGTAAACTGTAGAGTCCTGTAGATGAGTGTAAACTGTAGAGTCCTGT